TTTGTTTTTAATTTTTAATTTATGTTTTATTATTTTTTTTTTCAAGTTTTTTATTTTATTCTTACTGCTTTTCAAAATGTTAAATTGCTGCTAATTCTTAGATATCTTCATAGGCTAAAGTGCAAACCTATTTGCAGTTAATACCCTACATAAAAATGTTGCTGTTAATTGTGCTGACCCACAACTCATTTGTGGCGTTTGTTTGCGCCTCACTGTCCGTGCATATTAAATGCAAAGCACAATTTGTGAAGCGAATGTCATTTGAGATGCTTTTTCATTACCCAAGACAGACAGTTAGACGAAACGAGAGAGTGAGAGAGAAAGAGAGACAGAGACTACTGCTTTATAGTCAGCCCAAAAGTATGCAATATTTTTTTCTAGCTGCTGTCATAAAGTGCGCTGTTTTGTGCAAAGATTGCGCAATTGCAATGTACTTCAAATAGATTTTTAATAGTCCAACTGACAAACACTAAAGAAAGACAACATACACACGCAAATACACACACATGCACACACACATAAAGAGAGTGTAAATACAGAAGGAGCATCGTTTCATTGGGCTGGCAGTTGTTGCTCTCATGTCAAGCCTTTGTTGACAGTCGAAAACATTTATGCGATTTTCTCGTTAGATGCACAGAGCAAATAAAAATTTATGAAATACACACACAGACACACAGAAAAATGTTTGCAATATACTGCCATAAAGCATTTAGCAAGAGATAAAAACAAATTTGAGTTTTGTGTAGTTTGAGCAAATTTTGCAATTGTCAAAATGAATTAATGTTTAGCTGGTAAATTTGCTTTTGTTATCGGTTCGACTATGGAGCACATTTAAGGCCGATTGCATTTTAAATTACCCCAAGTAATTTGCTTGACCAACCACCAGCAGCAGCAGCAGCAACAGCAGCAGCAACAACAACAATAAATGTGGGTAATAAAGTGGCAAATAAATGAAATAAAGCCATTTGCCGACCGGTTTCTTCCGGCTTTTATTACAAAACACACTCCGAACTCCAAATAAAAGCGCATAAACTGCCAAACAATTGAGAATAGCTGAGAACAAGCTCTTTTAAGTGCTTACTGAAGACCAACACTGCAAACTACAATTCAATTTTCCGTTGTTTAAAGCCTTGCAGTAGCAGCTATCCCACAGTCCCACAGTCCCCCTATCCCAGCCCCAGTCCCAACTCCACACACACATAGCTCATCCAGTACTCACCCAAGAAACTCTGGGCTCGAGGATTACAGGCGAATTGCAAACGTCTTTGCATGTCTCGCATACACACACCCACACACACACACACACTCACACTCACGCTCAGCAAACTAATTTTATTGTATACCACATTCATGAGCATTCAGATCGCCTCAGACTCGCAGTCAAATTCACAATTCACTCCTCGCCCAGCTCCTTTTCCTCTGGCAATCGTGTGCAAAAATTTCTACAAGAAAATTGTTTAAGTGTTTCGTCTTAAGTGGCCTCATCTAGTCCAGTTGAAGGCCCTGCTTAGCCAGCGGCTTTAAGCCAATAAACAGCAGAGCAAATCGAGTAAAATTCTGCACAGCTTTTAAACTTGAAGTATTCTTTTGTTTACATGGCTTAAATAGTTTAGAAACCTTCAAGTGACGGTTGGTAAAGGTAATTTAACTTAATTTAAATTGAATTTGATAAAAATATATTTTTTGACACATTTTGCAACACTACATTTCTTTAGAGAAACTTTCAGTATGATATTGCATGCAGTTGGCAGTTTCTCGAATATTTCAAACAATAAAATCATAGCCGCTCAGTTGTCATAAGAATCAGCAGCTCAAGTAAATTATATCTACTTTGTGGTGTTTTTCTCTCCTTTTTTTTTCTGCAAAAAAGTGTCAGATAATATAAAATGCCATACCTTTTCCGCAGTCTCTTCTCGAATCGCTATAATACAAAAGTGAAGAATTTCTATGAGAAATATGAAGGTAAAATAAGAATATACATATATTCAAATAGAATTCCATATCAAGTATTAAACATGTTCAGCTGTGTGTTTGGCTATACCGAACATGGCGCCTATGCCGCGACCGCCCGCACTGCAGCCTCAGGGCAAGGCCTCGAGCCAAGCCTTCAAAATTGAGCACAAAGGCGCTGTCAAGAAGTTTCACTACGGCAACGGGGAGCCGAGCACCGATTGGCGCGCCGCCGATAATGTGCCCATTGTGGAGCGTCGTCGCATGGAGGAGGCCAGTGACATACAGCTGATGGATCTGGAATTGAATCCGAGTGGGGAGTTCAGCCATACCGTCTGGGAGGTGGAGCTGCCCGGCGAGGAGCTAGACATATTTGCCAATCAGCAGCCAGCTAAGAACGGAGTCACCCGGCTGGGCAGAATCAAGATGTTGACCAAGCTGAAAGGGCGACGCAAGAAGGCGGACATAGCCAAGCGAGCCGAGCTGCTGGCGCAGACCAAGCCACCAGCAGAGCCGGTCGAGCGGCCCAAGACGGAGCTGCCCAAGAAGCCAGCGGATCGACGTCGCCTCAAGCAGCCGGGCGAGCAATTCCTCTGCGACGATTGCAACAAGAAGTTCGACCACTCATGGATGCTGGTGGCCCACAAACGCACCCACACGGGCGAGAAGCCCTTCGTCTGCCCTGAGCAGAATTGCCAGAAGAGCTTCGCTGATCGGTAAGGCAACTATATCAATATATTTATGATATATATTTCTTATGTCACAGCTCCAATTTGCGCTCGCATCAGCGCACCATGGGCCATCATTGCTGGAAGTTTCAGTGCGGACAATGCGGCAAGTACTTCAGTCAGGAATGCTATCTAAAACGACATTCCCTGGATGCCTGCCGCAAATATCTGTTATCGGTGAGACTGAAGAAATAATAAGTAAGAGTTAATGATGAAACTCTTGATTATAGATACTTATAAATATATATGATTTATATATTAATATGTATAATTACAAGCACATATATATTTAGATTTAGCATCTACAACATCAAATAGAAAAGCTTATCTAAACTATGTAATGTCCCCAAACAGATTGTTGAACTTAATAATATATAATGAACTCTATATTGCTGAGTACTTTTTTTTCTTATCTTATAATATATTATGTTAATATTAAATTATGATGGCTGGCGGCCATTTAGAAATCAGAAATCAGACTTTACTTTTCACAAGTTTTTTAAGGAGCTGGACTCTGCTCTCAGATAGATATTTCATCAAGTTTAAAAATAGGACAAAAATATAGCTTAAATTTTGCATAAAGAAGTTAAAGATTAATAATGCTAAATGATAAGAGCTGGATTCTAATATAAGATGAGTATTTCGTCAATCATAATATATATACATAAAAACTTTCTGAGATAAAATGCTGGGTAAAGAAGATAAAGTTTATTAATGATAGATCCAGATTATGTCTCAAAAATTAATAGATCCAGACTAAGCCTCCAAAAGTTGTTCTCAAAAAATTACAAAATTTGAGTCTTATATGCTTATATATCGAACCTTATTCTATATCTTATTTCTAAGTATCTATCTCTATCCCGATTGATTCTTTATTTGCAATGCCATCTGTCGATTGCCCACAAATTCCTTCATATATTCTGCCATCTGTGGAAGTTGTGCTGCTTTGACACCTACTACAATATCGGCAAGCTGTTTAACATTTCAAAGAGAGTTGGCCAAGTTTTCGAGTGGCAGACACAATGCAATTTCGGCTTGATGCAACTAAATTGGCTCATTAGCAGACAAAGAGCCAAAGCCTTGGCCAGGCAGAAGTAGACTTTCAGCCGAATGGCCGAACTTTCAAGTGTTTTGCGCTAAATCAAACAAAAATGGGAGGGCGAAACTTTTGGCCATCCTCACACACACGCACACATACACACACACACACACATGCACTGTCGCGCACACTTCTTTGGCACAATTAATGATCGGAAGGGAGTTTTTAGTGCTTCGATTGCGGTTAACCTCGGCCGCTGTGTAAGCCCCACGCACTTGGCCACAATTTTGACGGCAGCAGCTGCACGGCCAAATGCAACGGTCGAAATGCAAACAGTTCGATGCCTGCTTTGCTACAGGGWCTATGACAATGACAACAACAACAAGCAGTAAGAAGTTGTTAAGCGATGGTAGGCGAAGGTTTGATGCCCTGTAATGAAATGAAAATTTCGGCATTGGAAGCAGAGCGATAATGAAGTATAATTAGTTGAGGTATTTTCAAATTTAGAGTCTTTTACAGTTAATTTGAAGAGAAGTAATTATGAACAATAACATAATAACACAAAAATAACTAAATAATGTTTTTAAGATAATATAGAAATATAAATAAATAAAAATAAACAGCAACATAAATTGGACACACCACGTTTTCCGCAAATGTTGAATAGTTTCTATATTATTTGAGCTATAATCCTATAATTTTGTTCCAATAAACTCTACTATATTCTATAAATAAAACATTAATAAATAAAAATAATTCTGTATTCAGATTAATTAATTATAA